TTCATGTACATGTCCTGCCAACAGCCCTGCTCTCATTATCTTCTACAAAAGATCATCAATTGAGTCTGCTAATGATTATTTTTATTTATTTAATTTTTTTCATGTTTTGTGGGACAAGGTCTCAGTCTACAGTGCAGTGGCATCACAGCTCACTGCAACCTGAAACTCCCGGGCTCAAGAGATCCTCCTGCCTCAGCCTCCCAAGTAGCTGAGACTACAGGTGTGCGCCACCATGCCTCACTAATTTTTCTATTTTTTCTACCTGCTTCTGGACGTTGTCTGTTGCCGTATCACACACAACGAACGTCTGGAAAATTCCACCGTACACTCGAGACAGAATGAGAGTGAAAAAGATAAAGATCATTACAATGAAAATATCCCCACGAAGGATAACCTAGAAAAATAACCAATAAAAATGACCATTTAGGAAAGCGGTGAAATGCAACACGCTTAAGGAAAAGCCAGCACTTTTCCTTGGAGTAAATTGCATTACAGATTAATATGAGTTGACGATCTTTAGCTCTCGAGAAAGAATGCCTTAAAAATCGGCAGGGCGCCGCATGCCACGTGCCACGTGCCGCCCAAATCGGCAGGTCGACGCCTGCCACCTGCCCAGGAAATCCAGCAGGTCCCCCGGTGGCGTGCTACAGCTCTTTCGGGACAACTGCGGTGGCTCTGAAAAGAGCCTTTGGGTTTCGGTGCTCAGGCGGGCCTGAGGCAGCTCATCTGCGGGTGGTGTACCTAAGGAGGGCCATGGTGCCCTCGGACACGGCGTGCTTGCTGATTTCCCCGGGCAGCAACAGGCGCACGGCCGTCTGGATCTCTCTGGAGGTGATGGTCGGGCACTGGGAGTAGCGTGCCAGCCGGCCGGCCTCCTCGGCAATGCGCTCCAGGATGTCGTGAACGAACGAATCCATCACGCTCACGGCCTCCTGGGACAGGCTGAGCCCCACGTGGACCTGCCTCAGGACCCTGGGGAAGTAGGTGGCGAAGCTGTCCCCGCGGCGGCTGGGGCGGCGGCGGCGGCCGCGGCGGCGGCGGCGGCGGCGGCGCCTTGGCTGCTCCTGCTCCTGCTCCTGGGTCGCTGTGGAGTCGGTCTCTTGGGACTCCTTGTCGCCGGGGCAGGCTTCAGGGCACAGCTCAGAGGAAGGCTCCCGCATGGCGCAGGCAGGTGTCTGTTCTCTGTTCTCTGGGAACAGACACTGGCGACAGAGGGCTGTCTCGGGTGTATTTGTAGTCGCTGAGTTGCCTGACGTCACGGGCCACCTCGCTGTGACTGGATGAAATGCCACTCA